AGTGAAATATCACAATGTTCACTGAGCTGTGGGGAAAATTCTCTTGCTAAGTGAACAGCCTATTTAACTTTAGTAAATTGACCCCAAACTGTCCAACTTTTCTGTTTAATATACAATCTCTATTGTTTAACCCATTCATTTAATTACAGTCTACAGACTTAATTAAAACCGAACTCTAGACAAAAAGCTAATATACAGATACATTATATAAGCTTTTTGAACAAATGGGTTTGTAATAAATACCAACAATAATCGCACTCGAGCTAAAATTTCATATAACATCTCCATGTGTAGCGCTACCCACGTGAGGGCCCCTGTGTTGTGGAAACCCCTAAGCTCTGCACAGCCAGGCAACAGCCATTTTTCACACTTTCATCCACAGTCAGTGAATAGTCCGTGAGCTTGGTTTTGTTATTTTATTAGTGAGAAATAACTTGGATAAGGAAATAGAGACTATGGGATGCCCAGTTTGGCTTGAATCAATGAAGGGGGACAACTTCCTTCCTATGTACAGAAACAGATCCTGAACTATTCTTTTCCTTGAAAGTTGTCAGTCTTTGTGTTTCAATAGCAACAGCCAGGGGCGGACTGACAACTCATGGGGCCCCCGGGCAATAGGGGATCATGGGGCCCCTGTGTCCTTGCCCACACTCAAAGCACACCCAAAAAAGCCTATAAAAGGTATCAGGGGTATTTCATGAGGCCCCCTACTGACCCCGGTCCTTTGGGCAGTGCCCGAGTGCTCGAATGGTCAGTCCGCCTCTGGCAACAGCCCTTTACGGGCGAGGAACTAGCAGCCCCTCAAAATCAGCTTAGCTGATTTTGTTTCCTCTCCTCTCCCCTTGTAGAACTGCCCCAGTTCCACAGCCTGCAGACACCAGCAGCTCCCTGGCTGCTCTGAAGATCTCCAAGGACAAAGATAAAGGATTGAGCCCAGTGCTGTCCTTTGAAAGCTTGCTACATGTGGCAGTCTCCCCTCTTGTGGATCACAGGGAGTGCTGATGTACTCACTCTGTCCTCTTTGCTCCCACTGCTCCAGGTCTTGATCCCATTCATGCTGCACTGCTGAATATATCCTACTGAGCGGGTCTGACCCCAACCTGGAGGATGCACCCCCCCCCTCTCCCCCACAAGACCAAAGGGATCCCTCCCAGGCACAGACAGTCTCCTCAGCACTCCATCTTCCATCCAACTTCCCCTGTCAGCTTGATTCTCCCATATTTATGGGCCAGTCCACCACTCTACCAGGGCCTCCAAACCTGGGATTAGACAAACTCCCATACACATGCACATTATGTCTCCACCCCTTCCTGCTTACCAACTTCTGGAAGGTTCTATGATCCTCCAGAGTCTGGAGGAGGCTAAAGAGCCACAGCCTGTTAAGTTAATCAGCTGATCTGCAATAACCCGACCTCAATCACAGACTCACACAGTTACCATGAGGGTGCTACACATGCAATAGAATAAAACAAACATATAAAAGACAGTGCAGGGCTAATAATAGCAGATAAGCTACTAAAACATTTCAAACATGATAAACGAGTTGCAGGCAAATAAATAAAAAGTCCCTCCAAATGAACAGATGGCATAGGTCAGCTGAAGAGTGCAAATAGAAAATCTAGACAATCTTGGCAAGCTGGTCAATAGGTGCTGGTGCTGAAAGAATATTGAATAAAGGGAGAAACGCTTCACCAACCCAATCACACTGCCTCTTACCAAATCATGTTGACCACCCTAAAATGGAACAGTCAAACAGCGCTGTGTAAAGCCAAAAAAGAATTCAAAAATAGATTCTCCACCAACTTCTCTCACAAATCTCACTTTTTTAGGTTTACAGATCGATCCAACCAAGTAGACAGGATTGCTCTCAAACGATGTCAATCAAAGGAGAGAAAAGCTTTACTTATAGTGTAGTAAACCAGATACCAGCTATTTATTAAAAGTAGTACTAAAAAATATTAAAATCAGCATATCACCAGTTTCCATAAGATGTTCCCAATGCTGCGTCCCAGTGCGCGATGACATCACGGGGTTTATTTACTAAAGCTGGAGAGTCCAAAATCAGACTCCCTTCTGCATAGAAACCAATCAGCTTCCAGGTTTCATTGCCAAAGCTTCATTGAACAAGCTGAGGTTAGAAGCTGATTGGTTTCTATGCAGAAGGGAGTCTGATTTTGGACTCTCCAGCTTTAGTAAATAAACCCCCACATGTCTTAGCTCCATCAAATGTTTTTTCATCATCTAGGATATTGTCAGAGATTGTAATACTGTCCATCCGGTCCTGAGATTTACATAGCTCTGCCCAACAGCGCAAAAGTTGCATGGCACTGAAGGAGACTTACTCTTTCTCTGCTTACATTTCACTGTCATATACAGGTCTCCTCCCCATCCCCCAGGACTGGACTGTACAAGTAGAAGTAGCTGACTGATGAGATTACCTCCCTGTCACTCTGTCTGTTCTCTACTGCCATCAACATTCGTCTTGTACTGCAAAGCACCTGATGTGACCCTTGACACTTTTCCCTCTCTCTGCTGTACTGTAAGAGCCTGTTTACTGTTATCATCAAAAGTGAAAGTAAAAAGAAAATCCCACATTTTGGGTTGTCCCCAGAACAGGAATTATTGGAGTATCCTCCAACATGAACACTATTTTGGTGACCTGGTGACAACCAGGAATTCCCTCACTTTAGAGGGATTTTCTCTCACTTCCTGTTTTGGCTATGGGACAGCAAAGAGAGATCTCCATAATGGGACACAGATTGCAAAAATAAACTGACAGGGGTTATAACCCTCCCTTACTCTATTCAAAATGAAAAAAAAGTTTTGCTTTTAGTTCTATTTTAATGATTACTGAGCTGCATTCATTTTTATCTTTTATATCGGCCTGGAGTTCTGCCTGAGTTCATAGAAGCATGTCTATAACCTCCCTTTTATAACTCAACTGCAGTTGTTTTTATAACAGTAGTTGTTACTAAAACTATTATGTAATACAGTTTGGGCTTAGTATAACGTTTCTTTCTTTCTAGCAATATAGTTTAATCATGGTGGTTTGGTGCACACCCATAATATTGTTTACTTTTGAAACTTTGAGTTCATGTTTCTCAGTGATAAATACATTACATGTAAAGCTTTGTTACTTCAATTTGTAAAACTCAGCGTTCATTGAATTATATTATTAAAATGAATTAATCAACCACTATCTGGCACCATAATCTGGCACATGATTAGTTGTGGCTTGATTGGACTCTGCAGACTGGCTTGGGCTGTGATTGACTAGGGGATTTCAGCTCACTATAATATCAAAATAACAGTTGGTGGAAATGAAAACTCTTATTCTGAAATGTTCTCCTCTGATGTCACTTCTCATAGAACTTGGCAACGTCACAAAATAATGCAGACTACACAGACTACATTTTTTTTAAACAAATGCCCAAACATCACTCTGACTAGGGAAATACTTGATGTGTAGTAAAGTAGATGTAAGCTCAATCACTAAAATTTTGTATATATTTTATCATGTTAATATAGTTTAAAAATTTGTTTTTAATCTTTTAATGTGTTACTAAACCCATGACCCTGCATTCACCATATCTGGTCTCCCACAGTACACAGAACATGGAAATGCAATTATTTTTAGTAAATATAAACTGCTAAATACCTTTTCTCACCAGCAGCTAGAGCAGTCCTGTGACCTCTACAGGTGAAACTCGAAAAATTGGAATATCGTACAAAAGTTCATTTATTTCAGTAATGCAACTTAAAAGGTGAAACTAATATATGAGATAGACTCATTACATGCAAAGCAAGATAGTTCAAGCCGTGATTTGTCATAATTGTGATGATTATGGCTTACAGCTCATGAAAACCCCAAAAGGGCCATTCAAAAGTGTTGGGGACTTTCACAAGGAGTGGACTGAGGCTGGAGTCAGTGCATCAAGAGCCACCACACACAGACGGATCCTGGATATGGGCTTCAAACGTTGTATTCCTCTTGTCAAGCCGCTCCTGAACATCAAACAACGTCAGAAGCGTCCTACCTGGGCTAAAGAAAAACAGACCTGGGCTGTTGCTCAGTGGTCCAAAGTCCTCTTTTCTGATGAGAGCAACTTTTGCATCTCATTTGGAAATCAAGGACCCAGAGTATGGAGGAAGAATGGAGAGGCACACACTGCAAGATGCTTGAAGTCCAGTGTGAAGTTTCCACTGTCTGTGTTGATTTGGGGAGCCATGCCATCTGCTGGTGTTGGTCCACTGTGCTTCATTAAGTCCAGGGTCAAACCAGCCATCTACCAGGAGATTTTGGAGCACTTCATGCTTCCTTCCGCAGACGAGCTTTATGGGGATGCTGACTTCATTTTCCAGCAGGACTTGGCACCTGCCCACACTGCCAAAAGCACCAAAACCTGGTTTAATGACCGTGGGATTACTGTGCTTGATTGGCCAGCAAACTCGCCTGACCTGAACCCCATAGAGAATCTATGGGGGATTGCCAAGAGAAAGATGAGAGACATGAGACCGAACAATGCAGAAGAGCTGAAGGCCGCTATTAAAGCATCCTGGTCTTCCATAACACCTCAACAGTGCCACAGGCTGATAGCTTCCATGCCACGCCGCATTGAGGCAGTAATTGCTGCAAAAGGGGCCCAAACCAAGTACTGAGTACATATGCATGCTTATACTTTTCAGAGGTCTGATATTGTTCTATGTACAATCCTTGTTTTATTGATTGCATGTAATATTCTAATTTTCTGAGATTGTGGATTGGGGTTTTCATGAGCTGTAAGCCATAATCATCTCAATTATGACAAATCACGGCTTGAACTATCTTGCTTTGCATGTAATGAGTCAATCTCATATAATAGTTTCACCTTTTACGTTGCATTACTGAAATAAATGAACTTTTGCACGATATTCTAATTCTTCGAGTTTCACCTGTATCAGTGTCTAGCCGAGCACTGGTTACAGCTTGTAGGAGGAGTTTTCATTTTGCCCAGATTGGTGCTGCATAACCCCTGACCCTCTATCTTGACAGTGCTGATTGGCCTGTGCTGATCACATGCACTCTCCCAAGAAAAAAAAATCTCTAGCAATACACAGCAAACTGAGCATGTGCGGCTTTCCCCCAAGGCTCTGTTCTATCAGCAGATGGATTGGGGACAGTGGAAGAAGGGGAGGATCAGAGAAGGCAGAATCAAACATCCTTTTTACACAATGCAGAGGATTAACCCCTTAGGTTCCACAGTGAGTATAACAAGCATGCTTTACTGCATATACAGACTACTGTGGGATTAGCAACACATTAAAAGCTGCAGCATTTATTAAAAGAATAGTTGGTGATCCTGTCATTTTTGTACATTCTTCTTGTTCATGCATTTCCTGTTATAGGGATGACAGCTGTCATCCAACTGTTCTTCTGTGTTATCACTCTATCACATGTGCCTATGGTAGAGGCTGTGCCAACACATTGCAATGGTATAGTCTATGGTTGTCACAGCGGAAGAGCTCAAGCAGGATCATATTCATTTGGCCTACCTAATCACAGGCTATCCCCTCTTCATTCTATCATGAATGCTGCTGCCAGACTCATCCACCTTCCATGTCTGTCGTCCCTCTCTGCCAATCCCTCTGATGGCATCCCATTGCCCAACAAATAAAATTCAAAACATTAACAATAACATATAAAGCAATTTAAAACTCTGCCCCAAATTATATCACCAATGTTGTCTCCAAATATCACCCAAACTGTCCTCTCCACTCCTCCCATGACCTGCTGCTCTATAGCTCCCTTGTCTCCTCCTCCCATGCTCCTCTCAGGACTTCTCCAGAGATTCCCCCATCCTCTAGAACTCTCTGCCCCAATCTATCCGACTATCGCCTACACTGCCCACTTACAGGTGATCCCCGAAAACCTATCTCTTCAGGGAAGCCTATCCTGCCTTCAGCTAATAAATTAATCTTCTATTTCTCCTATCAGTTCATCCCCCACAGTTATTACCTTTTGTACCACCAGCCCCTCCATATTGGATTGTAAGATCCAAGGAGCAGGGCCCTCTTGTATTGAACTGTATCCTTGCTGTATTGTCTCCCTTTATAAAGTAAAGTGTGGAGTAAACTGTTGGCGCTATATAAATTCTGTATAATAATAATAATAATAATAATAATAATAATAATAATATCCTAGTCTTAACCAGGGGCAGACTGACAACTCATGGTGCCCCTGGGCAATAGGGGATCATGGGACCCCTGTGTCCTTGCCCAAACTCAAAAAAAAAAAGCCTACGAAAAAGGTACCAGGGCATCTCATGGGGCCCCCTACTGACCCCGGCCCTCAGGCAGTGCCTGAGTTTCCAAATGGTCAGTCCACCCCTGGTCTGAACCCACCTGCCAGGAAGCGGTCACTGCACAAAGCCAATCATAAGCAGCCTATGCATTCTCCACTCCACAGTCACATGTACTATATACACACTCCTTGTATTTGTGTGGCTGCAGGGCAGGCTTTGCCTTGGCCGCTTATGATCAATACTGTAGTACAAGTGCATACAGACAGTAGCTAAATGAGGTTGGAGAAGATCAGCAGCAGTGAGAAGAGAAAGTAAAAACAACATTTAAAAATGACATGTCAGGTGTCTATGATATGCATTGCTTTAGCATCTACAAAATAAAGTATAATAAAATAAATAAGAAGAAAGCACTTTGTCTCTCTAAAAACATCCATATTGCTACACTGAATATGTTTGCTATGTATATACACAGGTGGGTGTGCAGACGCAAAGAACAGGGAGATGTGCGGAGACAACATGACAATGACAGGAATAGAACTGCTCCAGCCTGAGAGTCTATAAATAAAAGACATCATGTGAGGTGGTGTAGTCAAAGAGTGCGGTATTACAAAGCCTGGCACCTGTGGCCTCAAAGATTCACAAAGCTAGAATACTGCTTCACCTTCACACACTTTATAGAAAAATGACTCAAAACAAAATCAACAATGTCATTTTTTATCTTGATTCAAAATGCTTAATGCACCACTGGTTATTTTATCTGACAGTGAATGTCAATATAATATTTGGAACTCCTAGAGAGAATATAATAGCCCCAACATAACCTGTGAGTGGGCAAGAAATAAAGGGAAATCCCGCAGTCCCATATTAGCAAAAAAGTCTACTTTATGATGTGCTGGTTTTCTCTTCATTGTTGGATTCTGTATGGAACCACAGTAAAGCCATGCACCCACCCATTACAGGGGTTACCTATAAATGTCTGCGCAATATGGTTAAAGCCAAAGTGTTGATAAACAAAAACCTACAGCTTTAGTCACATCACTTACCTGCAAGGATTTGCCAGATTCTGAGTGCTCCAGTTTTAGTAAATCTCCCCATTGGATTTATGAAGTTGATCGTTCTCCATAATGTTTGCTTAGTTTTACTGTTTGGAGTTGCACATCCTCAAGAACCAGAGTTCAGCCATGGATGTGCTGAAGGCAGCTGCTACCCAGCCACCGGTGACCTGCTGAATGGAAGGGCTCAGCAACTCACTGCATCTTCTACATGTGGTCTCCAGAAACCAGTCATTCTGTATTGTTAGTCATCTCCAGTGCTGATTTTGCAGATGCCCAGCCCTAAGCCTCCAGAGAGGGAGCCTCTAACCCCTTGAGATCTGCACCCATCCATCCCCTAAGGGGAGCTCTGGACGCCCCTGGATCACCCCATAAGGCCTTTTGGATCCATTCATCCTAAGAAGGAGTTATTTCCTACCTGGCCCTGATGACCTTATCTGATGACATCTGGTTATATCTTATAAACACGCATTATTACTGTGCGTCCGGTGAGTGCGTATTTCTTCTGTGCACAGGAGCACAATCACCGATTTGAGCCATCAGGACCTCACTGGCACTTATTTATCACTTTATGAACTTTTATTTTTATATTTTATATTTGTGTTTTGTGAATATTTACCTTAGTATCATTTTACATTATTTATCTACCATTTTATAGCGCTGCACTTTTATATATATCTTATACTGAATATACATATTATGATTTAAAGTGTTACTAAACCCACAACAGTAAAATCAGTCTGTATATGCAGTAAAGCATGCTTGTTATACTCACTGTGAAAACTAAGAGGTTAATCCTCTGCATTCCTGACTTCTCTGATCATCCCCTTCTTCTACTATCCCCAATCCATCTCCTGCTAGAACAGAGCCTTCAGGGCAAGTTGCACATGCTCAGTTTGGTATGTATTACTATAGGGTTTTTTCTTTTCTTGGAAGAGTGCATGTGATCAGCACAGGGCCAATCAGCACTGTCCAGACAGAAGGTCAGGGGTCCTGCAGCCTCATAGGACAATTGGGAGAATAAAAACTCCTCCTACAAGCTTTAACCAGTGCTCTGCTGGATATTGATAAAAGTAAAAATACTGCTCTAACTGCTGATGAGAAAAGGTATTTAGCAGTTTATGTTTACTAAAATAATTGCATTTCCATGTTCTGTGTACTGTGGGAGACCAGATAGAGTGAAGGTTTAGTAACACTTTACCTACCCCTATTCAGGGAGAAAGTAGGAGAACATGGATGGTTGCAGGGGAGAGGGGTGCTATCAGAGGGCACTGTCACATTGCCCTGAATAGCACAAAGATATTTGCAGGCATTTTATATGCCTAGCTTAAATTCCTGGTGCTTTCCCACCAATCCTTCTGTGCATTGGCCTTTACCCACACGTACGACAAAGTTAATGAATGCGAAGGTTTGTGTTTGGGAAATGCATTGTATGCGCACATGCGGGTAAACACCAACACATAGAAGCATATACTTCAGTCGTGGACAGCCTTTCACTTGTGTGGCAGGCAGTATGCAGCAGCTCCTTCGACCAGGAAAATGCAGGGAATTTTATGATATAAATACAAAACACCTGAAAATGTTCATGTGCATGAGGCTTTAAGGGCTCATTCAGATGGATGATGTGCCCTGTCCTCCAAGCAGAGCCACATTCTATTGCATCTGCATCTCAGAACATTATGCAGGTAGCCAGTAGAAGTGGATGCTAATTCAGTGACTGCACAGACACAGTCGCATGTCAAAAATTTGACATGCAGGCAGTAGCATATGCGGTGCCAGAATCCGAATGCAGACACAGTGCATTCAGATCCATGCACCTATTCCTGCCCACATGTCAAATTTTGACATGCAAATATATCCCTGCAGCGGCAACCACTACATCAGCATCCACTTCTATGGGCTGCCTGCATGCAGCTCTGAGGTTGGATACAGGCACAACAAAATGAGGCTCTGCACGAATGACAGGGCTTATCATTGTCTGAATGAGCCCCAAATATTTAAAATGAAGAAGTGCACAAAATTGTGTATTTATCTATAGTGACCAATGAGAACTGTTTTATTTATTCTACAAAAAAATCAAACAGGATACCTGACTGTATGCTTTGGCAACATCTCCATGTTTGTGCTTAGTTTATTCTTTACAATGTTAGGGATAAGAGTGAAGTCCATAAAGCTAATATCTTCAGACAGGTGGCTTTGGTAATGACTTGTCATTTGTAATCTCTGTGTGAAGGAGAATCATACCACATGTGCAGACTGTGTCATTTCTAGTATTCTGTTCATTGTGCTGCACCTCCGGCCCTCGAGGCTATTGATTGAATTAGGACACTTCAGCTGATACAGCTACCTGAAGACATTTCTCATTTTTTTGTGAGTAATCTTTCTCCCTCAGTGTAATAAATGACTCATTTACTACACAAGCATTGCCTGACTTTTCACTTGTGATATAGATCAGTGGTTTCCCTGGGGCCACATATGTGCTGATCCCAAAATCATTTCTTGCAGGGGTTACAGTCTTCACCTTGACTATGCTGCTCTCATGTTCCTTCTTCTTTATGATTATTGACGTTTACTTTAAAGTGTGAGTTTTCTCAGAAGTGATATTTTAGTGTTTTCATAGAAACTGGAGTGTGAAAACTGAATTTTAATTTGCATATATTCTGTCTTCCTTGGTTCCTCCTTTCCTCCCTCATCAACACGCTAATGCAATTTTTTGATAAAACCTTTCTGTTTTCATTACATACCTCATATTATACTCAGTGATGTCATCACCGGATTTCTGTACTATGTAATGCAAGCATGTGGGCAGGTGCGGTTAGCTAGTAAGCCGCTAGGTGGCTCTGTGCCAGAAAAGTGTCTGGCCACAGCAGACAGTGCCATCCAGAGCTAGGCCCCTTCTAATTAGAGCCCTCCTGCATGGATGTCATGAGTGAGTCAGGTCCCAGCTATAAGCCAGGTTGGGAGGAGCCCTAGTGCAGTTGGGGCATGGGAGCCAAACATGCCACATCAGTACAGATGTAACCAGTACATGGAGGCCCTGGACAGGGTTGGAGAAGTAGACCTGCACCAAGGAGAGCCAGCTGTAGTCTTCCTAATCTTTATGGAGGTGGGGGCTATAGCAGGTTGCAGAAGGCCTTTCAGGCCTGGCCAAGATTTCCCTGAGTGAGGCTATTCCCCTGGATGGTCCTGGGAGAGGTGTATCTATGGAGGAGGTGACCACAGAGATCCCATTCCTGTGAGTACTGATGACCCTGGGTGGCAGGAGAGACTGTTAGAGGGAGATGGCTGCTTAAAGTGCTGCATTTGCTTAAACATGTGACTGCTAGGGATCATCCGCTAAATGGGATTGACTATGTGTTGTCAAGTGACTCTGGAATGTATGTTGATGTGATGTGACTGTATGCCATTTCCTAAGTACCATCGGTTAAGTGTAGCAACCCTATTTATGTGTGGACATTCCTTCCTTGGGATATAAAGGTCAATGGCTGGGAATATCATTTGAAAGCCTCCAGTATGGAGTGAGCATGATATGGCGGAGGGTTTGGCCTCAGCAGGAGGGACAGTGTTCTTAGCAAGACAGGAGTGGAAGCAAAGACTTGTGATCTTGGTGCCATTACTGGCCAATTGCAAAGCCCCACTTAAAAGAAGATCATGGTTAGTTGGATGGGCCGGTAGGGTGCTGTACAAAGCACCCTCCCGGAGCTATGTACACCATAGAACCCTGCCTCAGTACTCCTCCAAAGAGTTCTCAGCTCTGATAAAAGTACTGGACTTTCTCTTGGGAGGAATAATGCAAATATAAAACATCCCTTAATGGGTGAACATTAGACTGGAGGACTGGGAATTCTTAGGCAGGCTATATTTGGATGTAGACCACCCTTAATAACACCCACATGTGATGTTGAGCCTCTTTGATTGAAAGAACTGAAATCCAATGAATTAAAGGGGGAGGGCCAGGGACATGGATAAAATAGCTAGATCAAACTTTCTTAACCAGGGTTCCTCCAATGGTTGCCAGGGGTTACTTGAGCAATAAGCAGTTTCTGCCTCCCAAATAAGTAACCACTGATAACAATGATCTTTTAAGCTATCTGTAAGGGGGCATTCTTCCCAATGACTATAAGTGTAAGGAGCAGTCTTCCCAGTGACAATCACACTAATGTGCCATGAGTTGTGGATATGGTAAGTATTAGCAGGGGTTTCCTGAGACTGGAAACTTTTTTAACACTGTGTTGAGGCGGGCTCTATCTAACTCGTTGCAGCTTTTGATGTACTCTGTAAGAAACTCACAGTGTGCAGTGAAATCAGAATAAGCAATTTCTGTACAAGCAAGGAGCCTGTACAGCTATGTAAAGCAGAAGCGAAAGCTCAAGTTTGGCTTTAACATGTTAGTGCTTTCTTTTATCTCCTGCCATTCTGCTAGTGGTACCTCTGAAATCTAAAGATTGTACGTATCCCACAGTGATTATGAGTGATCTCCCTCTCATGGTGTCTTTTTATATGTGTATTATATTGTGGGGTATTAAACATACAGACTGGGGTCTGGGATTGGGTTCGTAGCCTTGTGTGTAATGGGTCACCACGAGACTGTGCATCTAGTTTGTCCAAGTGCGAAATCGTTGGATTAGCGGTGAGTGATATTTCGTAAGTGGTGGGCAGTGGAGGAAATTACAGATATGAAGTCTGAGCTTTGCTGCACAGGAAGTGCAAAAGGCTAATACTAGGTCAAATTCAGGGATTTAGGCCTTGTTCACATGGGACATTCAGGATCGTACGCCCATACAGGAACATGTTTACCCACAACAGGATACACAGGTGTTCCATGCATCCCGGTACCGGCAGTCCCATAGCTGTCAATTGGGATGCAGTAGTTGCACAGACATAACTGCTGCTCTCAATGTGACATCCGTATGCGTCCAGAGCCCTGACAAATATCATTGTGTATTATGAATAAAGAGATGCATGGCTCTAAATTTCCCCTTTAAATCTTTTTTCTTTTTTTGTATAAGTATGATCGTTTGAATTTGAATGATGCTTTGGAATCTGCTCTCTGTTTTGTATTCTATTTATATAACCCTGTTGATAATATGTTGAATTTTTACGTTGGACATGTTTTAATAATGCAAAAACACTGAAAACTACACATAAATGAAAACAAATATAAAAACTACTGTTTTTCCATATATATATATATATATATACATATGTATTATAGTATATATAAATTATTATACGGCCATTGTTACTTGCCTCTGTTTTTGCATCCAGAACCCCTGCTGGAGATAAGCAAAGGTGAGTAAAAATGCAGAAAACTCTAGGGCAGCACAAAATCATCAAGTATTGTCAGAGAAATCCTGCAGGTAGAGTCCCAAAATGTTTAAAAAGCTAATGTGACTCTGCCCCTCAGAATCCATCAGTAATTAAAATATCCTTTTTAGATGGACTGACCCTATAAGAGAAATATTAAGCATTCTTATAGACATTTTTGATCTTTTTATGGCTTTAACAACACTGTGTCCCACAATTATTTTCTTATGTGACTTATCCATTTAGAGTACTAAAAAAACTTTGCAAATTAATTTACAATCCCAATGTAAGAATGGTTTGCTTTTATTAATACAGGGATAGTTGTTTCCTGATCTTGTTTTATGCTTAAAGATTGTCCAATTATATGTGGTTCTAAATATCATATTGTCTTCATATAAAAAAGCAAGTTATACTTAGATACCAATTTACCGAACTTTTCAAAAGATATTTCTATTCATAGTGGTCCTAGTGATATTATTAGTAATATGTATCGCTATTATTAGCTACCGAAAAAAGGTTTGTAAAAGTTTCATAAAGGTGTCTTTTTTTATCTGGATATATTCTTTATTTTTGAGACATGTTATTTCTTAGGTTATTTTCCAGCAGAGTGGAATGTTGTGTGATTTGTACCAGTATGTAATTAGCTGTGATCAATGGAGTACAAGTTGGACAAATCATCAAATGCCTGAATGGTAGAGGGAATGGGTCCCCAGGCTCTAGTCATGGTGGGCTCTGCTATACAGGAATATCAGTAGCTGTTCTACTCTGTTCTTCATCATATAAACCCTTTAACACTAGGAATCTATAGACCTAAATATAGCCATGTCCTAAGGTCTGCTAGCACAGCTCCAGTCAATTACAGAATCAGAAATCTCAAATTTGCTGACATTT